CTGTTAAATATACGGATATTTTTAACAGTGTATGTACTAAAGCTTAAAAAACAGAGAAAAAAATTTTCCAAAGTAAACATTTTAACAAACAAATAATAAATTAGCTGAATTCTGTTTACAAACCTTAGCTAACAATAAGCTAGCTTTAACAAATGTAGATAAATATGTTAATGTTTTAGAGAGTTCAGCAGCAATAACAACTAACCTAACAAGTTATTAAAGATATGATCATTTCTTTTACTTTCAGTTTTCTTTCTAAGCAATGGGGACTTTTTTAGTTGTGAAAACAAAGATTGACAAATGAAGTAAAATGTAAGAAAAATGAAAACTCTAATGTAAATAATACAGATTGTGTAGATTGCTGATAAAGAACATGAAATTTATAAGGAAAGAAGGAAAGAATGGGCTGTGATCAAAGCTCAGCTTCATGCATTTGTATCTTTCATTCTCATCCATTTTCATTAGAACGAGTTTAACTGACATTTTAATCACAGCTATAAAAGGCTTTAGAGTCAGTTATCAGTCAGAGACAAGCATAAAAGAAATAAAGTTGTCCTTCAGGTTTAGCAGTCATAGGCTTCTACCAGGCGTCTAAATACATTTAGAAATATTCTGGTATTAAAGCTGTCATCTGACCCCTGACCTTTGACTCTCTTGCATTTTTTGCATCTAAAATGTAGCTGTGGAACGTTTTTTTGGTAAAACATTTTGTACATTTAGAAGTGAGGTTATGTGGGAAAGTTATCAACACATGTCATCATACTTGCTTATGATGACATGTTCAAGCCGACCCACTTACAAAACAAATTGCTGACACTCTAAACCGTGTCAAACTCAAGGCCTGCAGGCCAGTTGTGTCCCACAATGGGATTTTAGTTGGCCCACAAGAACCTCAAAGATGTGTTATTGTTGTAAAATCGGTGTATAAAAGCCAGTATTGACAATAAACTACATCTTCCATAATGCTTGTTATTTTACCTGTGAAATGATGACATTCCACCACTAGGTGGAGATACACAGGGTTCAAMAGTACAATACGCCCTGCAAAATCTCCATTTTGCTGCATTTTTGCCGACTACTTTTGCTGCAGCYTAGTTGTGCTGGGAAGTGGGAATTTTCAACTTATGAGTTGTAAATTTAAACATGAACGCTCCGCCAGCTGGAATTCCCAGTCGGAAAGTGGGAGAGTTCAGAATTCAAGACAGCACAGCTACTCATCAGTGAGTAAAACTCTTACTTTTAGTTTTAATAGTATTTCTGTATTATTTGTTTCACATTTAGTCAGTCGTATACACGGTACTTTTCAGTGTTTATAAGAGGACGTGTAAAAAAACTGTTTCTATGCAAGAAATACCATGTAGACCTTTGGGGACCACCACAGTGTTAACATGGCCCTCATGGTTTGACAGTCTCGTTTTAAAACAATTCATATTTTCAAAAATGTTATAGTAGTTTGCAGTGGTGGGCATCGTTAAGCTAATCATCTAACTAATATCAGAATACATTTTTTCGCAGTGGTGGGCACAGTTCCCCTAAAGCACTAAAGCACTAATAGGGGAACTAATTTCCTGATTAGTGCTTTAGGGTTTTGCTAATTTAAAAATTTATTAGTGGATTAACATTTGCTAAATTTATAGGCTAAATTTAGAAGCACTAACTGAGGTCTATAAATGTTATTGATCAATGTTAATGTTTACAGCTGAGGGTGAAAGCTCTTAACTTACAGTATGTGACTCATGTTGTCTGTTGAAGGATGTTCATGGGTTCACTGGGTTATTTTAATGCTTTAGAATTAGCTTTTGCTAAATTTTCAGTGCATTAGTGCTTTAGAATTAGGGGACCTAAATATTTGAGTTAGTGCTTTAGGGCTAGTGGAACTAACTCTTAGATTAGTGCTGCCCACCACTGATTTTTCCTTTAGCAAATTAGCTTTTTCWCTAACATTGAAAACCATTATCAAACCAACTAGCTTTCACTAAATCACRTTTTGATAACTTTAAGTCTGCTAACTTCAAGCTAACATCAGCAGGTTCACGTCAGTCCACAAGTCTTCAGCTGGAAGGAGRCAAACGACTTGGCAGTYGTCTTAGCGTGTTATTTTTCACACGTTTAGCTGTTTGGCAGTACCGAAGCTGTATTTTTAGTTAGTGGATTATGAGTTAGTGAAAATAAGTTTATTTGTAGATTATTATTG